AATCTTTCTGAATAACCTCATACCTGGAACAATACAAAATAACATGTTTCTCATCTTCAATGCTAGTTTCACAGATTGGACAAATTCTATGGTTTAAAGCTAACCTTTCATATCTGCCAGTTTCAAGTCTAATAGTAGCTACCCCACATCGAAACTTTGCAAATGCTGCTCTATGCTTATTCGGTAGGATAGCAGTTACTTAGTACTATATTTCTGTTTCAAAGCTAAACTTTAAGGTTCTATAAGTCCCAAACTTGTTTCCACCTTGCCCAGAACTACTATTTATTTATGTAGTGACTCAATCTATTCATCCAAATACTCGTTCAGATAAGAACTGGTTAGCTTTTCCACCAAACATTTCTATTTAAAACATTATTAAGAACTCAAAAATCACCACTGTCCGACCACTTCATTCTATGTGAAGGTTTTCACAAGTTAACATGGACTCCGGCGAGGATTTATCATTAATAAATATATATCACGCAGTCGAAGTACACTAAAAGACACTATGACAAAGATCAAATTTGTGCAAATATCTTGGATTTACGTGAGGAAGCTTGGGCGTTGTCGAAGCCATACATAAACATGTTCTCAGCTATATCTGATGAAGAGTTACCACGCGAAACAACTTCCACCATTTCTAGTGAAGCCCCTACTCTGTCTGACGAAGAAATATTTTTTCTGTCATGAACATTGAAGAGCCGTCTTTAAGAAGATACACCTAAAGAGACATCATACAGATTTCCTAAACCTATTGCTCACGAAGAAATTTAATGTATTTTCAGAAAATGACGGAGAAGCTGAAGTAGAAAACGTGATGGTCGGGACTACCCTTCGGATACTATGTAGTCTCTAGTTGTTTGTCTTCAACTATATATGGATTCTATCGGCAAGTATGGAACGCCATAGCTGCCTTATATACACACTTCTAAAGTGATGGTGTCCTTTTTATAAATTGTGCTGTGATTTAGATAAATGGTGGTGTCGTTTTTGACAGATGGTGCTGTCGTTTGAATAAGTGAACAGAAGTTGAACACATCGCTCTACTGATATTGCAATTATGGCGCTAGAACACCGGTATATTTTTAATTATGTTTTGCTTGGTAATGTAAAAAACAAAATCATAGACGATCTCTGTGATAATGAATACCTACGATAACAGTTTTATGAAGAAATCAAGAACGAGATGTTGTCGACCGCTAAAGATCTGGACGCCATACACGACAAGATTTAATGACGTTCATGATTTGCCAATTGTTGTTCCAGAAACGATTTGTAAATTCCCCAACATCAGTTCAAGTCCTGCTTTGACAAGTGGATTCAGAGATGGGAGAAGTGTGTATGGTGTATTGGAGAATATTTCGAAAAGGTTTGATTTTTAGATTCGTATGACCAATTTTCCTGACGCTGTCTCCCATTGTTACAGCTGGTCACCGTCTCGCCATTTTCCAAATCTAGCCACATGCGACTTTTACCTTTTCCAAAAACTTAAAAAGTTCTTATCTGGTCGTCGATATTGTCCCGACAGGCGCTTTGATCAGCCATCAGTCAGTGCCTCAGAGGTCTACCTAAATGAGCATACCATGACACACTTCATAAATGGATTTAGAGATAAAGTAACTGTTATGTATTTCAAGCCGCGGACTAAGAGCTGACTGCCTTTGGATATCCTACAATTTACATTACATATCGAACAACCATCGTTTTTTAATTGATCTGTGTTAGGTTATGATGAATGGGATATTTTGATATCAACAATCTAAGATGTCCGTAGAATAAACAATCTTAAAAGTTAATATTAATTTATTTTGAAAATGAATTGAAATTTTAAATACAATCAATATTGACCTATGTATAATGACCTTTTGTCGGTAAAAACCGTATTCCCAAGTGAAGCCAATGCGTAAATCGTAATGACTTATGAAAACTAATGACAACCCTCGCGAAAGGTGAACATTACCAAATAATACAAAAAATGTTTTATATTTATTTTTTGTCCATCAATATCATGTACTACTTTTTGGATTAAGCTAGGCGGATGTCAAGTCTGTGATTCGTACTTGAAAATATCCTGTGGTTTGTCCACTTTAATACTTTTTTAGTTTGTGTACTTTAATTTGGTTTTACATACAGTATACATATAAACTATAGTCTGTCCCATTAAAAATGGAAATGAACTTTTGCCTGGTATGAATTAACAAAACGACGTTGAATAAAAAATAAAACTTTTTTGTAAACTAAAAAAAGTCACCCTCGAGATTTTACTCTAAAGTGTCTACTTTTCTTGTGAAAGCAAATTTTGATTTCTCTATGGTAAATCTCTGTTGTTTATTTTCCGTAGCCATTGCCGAAGTACTCTTCATTTGAAGATGAACGGGAGAAAGCACGTGTCATGTTTCTAAAATATACATGAGGTTCTCGGGGTCGTTTCATGATTATGAGTAATTATAAGTAATTAAGTTGGACCACTCACAAGCGTCAGTAGCACCTGATACACACGAGATTCGAGTTTCAAACAATTACACGGTCTTTCAATCGCTTTCTACGCCATTATGCATCCTTGTGTGAAACGTTGCGGTTTCGTTGCTATTGGCCAATCAGAAGACTCGTTACAAAATATCGAACAGCTGATTGACAATGGCGTTGAAAGGAATCTAAATACCGTGGAAAGGTTTGAAATTCGAATTTTACGTTTATCAGATGCTACTGACGGGTGTGAGTGGTCCAACTTAATGTATTTAGTAATATTATTTAGTAAATTCAAGTGATTTTGACCCGTACTCAGCTGACAAACATGTATTAGTCTATGTTTACGTACCGAATCGTTGTGCCGCAATTCTGTCTACCAACGATTTTTAGCACGAATTCGCTCGTTTCCTGATAGATATTTCATGAACGGGAAGGGCTAGAGACTTGGGGTCGGTCTCATTTGGAAGCTTAATACAAACGTGAAATAGTGATATAAGTCGTTTTTAATTGTCCGGCCAATTGTTTTCACAACGGCTCGGGAAATGAATACCTTGCTTGTAGGCTCGAATCTGGAGTTTCCGGCCTTCTCTTAACTTATAGTATATTTTAAAGGGGGTCATTTTTTACAATTTTTTTTTTGGTTTTTGACACTTTTAAGATGAACACAGGTTTTATTATCAATCTGGTCATATATTTTCATCTCAGGTCCGATACTCCTGCCTGTGGTTTGTACTGCGTTCTTTGCGATTCCACTGCGCCTTTACGGCGCTCACACTGCTATGCAAACGCAGTATAAGCGCAGTAGAGACGCCGCACAATCTCCGTACAAGCGCTGTGGATAACCACCGCGTTCGTTTGGCGTTCCTTTAACGCTTCACGGCGCTCCTGTTGCGTTGTAGGAGATGCTAGTGAGTTGCTACGGCGACCTTACTTGGAGCCCATTGGGCTCATCAGAACGCTGACGGCGTTTGTTTTGAGCATTCTCAAAATGCGTGCCGTTGGCCGGTGTTCTGTGACGCTGTCGTGATGTTTGCGATCTTACTGCGTTCATCTCGGCAATCTGAATTTTCTTTGGACGCCGTTAGAACGCCGTCCTAGTGTGACAGGGGTTTACGGATTAAAACAAGACATACATGTTTTTGTATGGTTTACAGATATTAAGAAAGTAGAGAGAAATAGAATCCTTAAAGAAAGTCCAAAACGGCAAAATTGAAAATATTGCAAGCTCGGTTTGATTGAGCCTGTTCATGGACAGTACTGGAGTGCAAGCTACTGTCCACGCTCCATAGCAACGGCTTAAGGAGTTTTCAACATTTAAAAATGAAGTGGTAAAATTTTGAATTTAGAAACATCCGCAGATGTGTTCATACGGCGGTTATCATGGAACCTTCAATGTGACTCTTCCGTGCCATTCCATGAAAAGCGGCGTATGGTCCCCAAGTAATAGAAAGCGTGTGTCCTAAACGGGAAAACAATGGGTGGAACTATTCAAAATGGAATTTTGAAAGGGGATGAGAGGTTATGAGGCCTGCTTTGTTTGTTTGTTTCATTTTACGCCTTTTTCCAACAGTATTTCAGTCATATAGGCGGGTAATTTCCTAACCATCGTTCCCGGAGAGTTACACCAGTACTAGACTACCTTCCTCCGCGCTAAACTACCAAAGCATCTCCCGGGGATCGAACCCACGCCAGAGAGGTACTAGATTAGAAGTCATCGACTCTAACCCCTCGACCACGGAGGCGGTCTCTATGAGGCCTGCAGATCACATAAGCGTCAAAAGGCAAATTTAAAAAGCAGGCCACATATCCTAAGAGTGATTATTCAGTATTCAAGTGAGGAATATTGGAACCACTAGCCAAACTGAAAGAACTAAAATACCACAAACACAACCAACAATTATGTAAGGATCGGACCCGATTGCATGTACAGGGCGATATTTTACGGCCTCCACACAGCACACTTGGTCATGAAGCATTCCTTTTCCAAAGAGAGTTTAATGAACAAGTTGATTACTGCATTAAATTTCTAATACCACTAACATTAAAATATCTTCTTTTACAGATTAAAAATATATGGTTAATTATTATTATAGTAACTCAGTCACAATACAAGGATAAATCACCAACGGCTTAATCAATGACATCTTTTATGAATGATTCCAACCAATAATAATTGTGTGGTGGCCGAATTTCATACACACTTAGCATTGTAACTTTTATAAAACTCACTTAGCTTTGTAGATTGGCTTTTGCTTAAACATAACCTTCGTTTTTGAGCCGCGTCATGACAAAACCAACATAGTGCGTTTGCGACCAGCATGGATCCAGACCAGCCTGCACATCCATGCAGTCTGATCAGGATCCATGCTGTTCGCTTACAAAGCCTATAGCAAGTAGAGAAACTGATAGCGAACAGCATGGATCCTGCTCAGACTGCGCAGGCTGGTCTGGATCCATGCTGGTCACAAACCCATTATGTTGGTTTTGTTGTGACGAGGCTCATATAAATTTGCTAAATTATAACAAAGATATTGTTGCTTCATGAGAATTTATTTGGAATGATTATTTTATAAAAGTGCATTAACATAACCAAATATTTAGAGGAAACAAATGAAAGCTTAGAAATATTAAACATGTAAATACAACCCCGTATATGCTATGATTTAATGACACTTGAAATAATGTTATAGTGTTAATTTTTTTCTGGAGAACCATTGCCTTTTGTCAAGATTATCAATAGGTCTTATTAGCTTTTATATTACACAAAAATTTATTGTTGAAAAGACCTGTAAGAGAGTCATATAATAAAATGAGGTTATATAGACTATTCCATGAAAGTTCCAATAAGGAAGGAATTCTGACTGATTCTTTAACAAGCATACATTAACAGTGATATAGCGAAAGACTAAAAAAAATCAATGACAGACAGACAGACAGACAGACAGACAGAGAGAGGTGTCTATTACAATATAAGATACACACAAAAAACTTGCCAGTTAATCTATCATATATACATGTATATCATAAATGTACAAATTTCCCTACTTCTTATAATATACGTAAACTTACCACAACCATTTCAATACAACTTGACATTTTTATACTTCTATTGAACAAACAGTTAAAAGAAAATCTATAGATGATAAAAATTGAAGATAGTGAGTGCACGATTAAACTCTGAATAAAATATCTCATATATAACGTGATTCACTATACAACAAGAAAGGGTATCAATAAAATCCCTTTCCCAAAGCTTTACATCTAGTAAAAGCTGCAAATATAGCAAATTGCTGATTGGACAATGTTAGTCATGGAATTTCTTGATCAAATTTACATTAAAATAAGAAACATTCATATATATAAATGCAAGTTCAATGAACACTCAGAATCACTGTATGACTGATTTACAGTTTGTATAAGTTGATATAAGTTGAACATAATCTAAATTACAAATATAAAATACACAAAAATTTCAAAATTGAAACAAACATCTAACTGAAAATAGATAATATGTTGTAAGTAAAAATATGATTGACAGATGAAGAATATTTAGAAAAAAATATTTTAACTTATTTTTACTCTTGTAAGAAGTTGATTATCTTATATACCACACAAGTGATACTATAATATTTAGCTTTTATTATGAAAAGTAATATAATTATATAAGTCTTTATGTTCTACCTTATCTGATTATATGTACTACAAAAGAATCAAATTTTGAAGTAAATAAATAAGTAGAGGACATTCAAGTTACTTCTATAAATAAAGGATTTATTTTCCTGGAGTGGTATGAAAATAAATATTTCAGGAGTAGCAGTAGCCACAAGTGAAATATGATAATTTTCATACCACAAGATGGAAATAAATCCTGTATTTATAGAAGAAAAAAAAAATTCAGTTTATCATATACTAATTCTCCTTTTTCACCTTATGAATAGAATGAATTTTCTTTTATTTTTGTGTATTGGCTGAATTTAGAAGAAAGTAGTTTGGCAAGACATCAGTGAAAATACAGAAAATATGTTTCACTGCAGTGAAAATATGGAAAATAAAAATACACACTTTATTTCATAACTATTTCATCAATATTTCATTTAGAAGAATATAATAAAAGGATATATTAAAGTGAAACAACTAATCCTACAACAGAACTTCACTAATCAACTTATGTTCCCCCATTATAGAATACATTTCTACCAGCAAATGTTTCTTTCAGTCACTCAGATCATTCATACAATAATGCTTACAATAATAATGCTTCTACTAACTTTAAAGCAACAAAAAAAACAAAAACAAATAGCTAGTTTATATATATCTATATATCTACAACACCAACAGTAGTTTTATACAATATATACAAAATAATACTTAACAAATGTAAACCAAAAACTGAAAAATGTAAACAGAAAAAAACAAAGAAATTCAATAAAACTAACACCATACATGTTACAATTTGAGCCGCAACATGGCAAAACCAACGTAATGGGTTTGCGACCAGCATGGATCCAGACCAGCCTTCGCATCCGCGCAGTCTGATCAGGATCCATGCTGTTCGCTAACAAACCCTATTACAAGTAGAGAAACTGATAGCGATCCATGCTGGTCGCAAACCCATTATGTTGGTTTTGTCAAGACGCGGCTCATTTATATTCAACAATTCCCAAACATTTTTTGTTACTAACAAGACATCATGGCAGGACATGACACATATTGCTCACATCTACCATTTCTGATAACACTGAGGTGAATGTCAATATAAATCTGACAAAAAAAAAACTCGAAAATCTCTCAAAGCTTTAGTGACCTTAACCTTGGTGACTATCTTTAATCTTGGGGACTATCTTAGCCTTGGGTGATTATCTTAGCCTTAGGGACCATCTTAACCTTTGTGACTAGCTTAGCATTGGTGACTGTCTTGAACCTCAGTGACTATCTCAGCATTATGGATTATCTTAACCCTGGTGACTTTCTTAGCCTTTGGGTCCATCTTAGCCTTTTTGACTATTTTTAAATATGGCAACTATCTTAAGTTTGGTGATGAATATCTTAACAATGGTGACTATCTTTGCCTTGGATAATATCTTAGTATTGGGGACTATGACCTAGAACCCCATCCCCAAGATAGCGGTCTGTGCAAAGTATATTCATACACAATATGTAAGTCATTGGTCCATAAATAAAGACTATGAGCCAAAAATGAAAAACTAAGAAAAGCCTGTTTGACCAAATTTTCAAATTCATAATTTGAAGAAACTTGGTAAATGTCCACTTACATATACCATAGAATATATGTAAATACTATAATAGAATATATGTAAATACTATACATTAAGGTTTTGTTATTATACAAACTTTTACCATATCAGTCTATTCACTATCAAGATATATCTAGACTAGAACCCATTTTAACAACTCTGTCATAAATTGTTGAAAGTTGATAAATACCTCTAGCTTAACTGACCAAACAGTTGTGATTTAGGCCATGTTGTTATAGAGGATAAGTTTTTGAAGTATTCACTTTAAACATTTATTTTTGGTTCATTTATTTCACTTATATGTCAAAATTGTACATTTTAAGCAATTTTAGTGAAGATTTATTTTAGACATATGTAAATGGAAGTTTCAAAGTAGCCAAAATGTTTAAAGGATGTCATTTGAAATGATCTACTAACAAACATAAGACAGAAAGCCATTGTTCCTTCAACCTCACATGAGCACTAAGTACTTAGGCGAGCTTATAATTTAACATAGGAAAGAAATGTTTGTTTCTAGTTTTACTGCCAAAATTATGTTTTAAACAGATATGTAGAGGGTTTCTTAAAGCATGGATGGTACTAAAATATTGTCTTCCCAAAATAATAAGTTATTATATGATAAATATTTGCTGTGTTAATACATAAGATATGTAATACATATACCTCACACTGTCTAGTAAATATTTTATACTATCTACTTTATAGAAATTAAAGTTTTTGTAGAAACAAACATTTCACTTACAGCATACAACACTGGTATTAACTTATACCCTTCATTTATAACAATGTATTACATAGTGTTGCTTCATTTTATCTACACGTTTAAACAATTAAAATAAAATCATCAATGATAAACAAGTCAATATACAAGTTGTTTTTGTGTCAGAGAAATATTCATTTGAGCCGCGTCATGACAAAACCAACATAATGGGTTTGCGACCAGCATGGACCCAGACCAGCCTGCGCATCCATGCAGTCTGATCAGGATCCATGCTGTTCGCTTACAAACCCTATTACAAGTAGAGAAACTGATAGCGAACAGCATGGATCCTGATCAGACTGCGCGGATGCGCAGGCTGGTCTGGATCCATGCTGGTCACAAACGCACTATGTTGGTTTTGTCGTGACGCGGCTCATATTAACTTACTTACATCACACAAAATAATTTCAAATTCTTTTAATAAAATTTTTTGAAGAAAGATAATGAGAGAAAAAAAGTTTGCTAAATCAAAACAAATAATGTAATTTATTTTGGTACATTCTGTTCTTGGCACAAATTCAGCACAAGATATTGCACATTTTTCTTGTATAAATATCTGTTTAACATAATAAAACGAACACAAAATTGAAAAAAAGTTAAACTTTATGATCTGATATATCTACAGTAACAATAAGGAGAATAATCTGTGTCTTGAACAAACAGGAAGATGCTGTGTTGTTTTGTTTAACTTTGTCACAAAGATAAAAACATCAAATATACTCGGCAATTTTATTTCAGACAAAAAATGAATTTACTTTGATACTGACCTGTTATATCTTATGAAAAATTTGTTTAAACCAAATTACCAATTAGTGAAATTCATACCAAAGCTATTTATACATTATTAATAAAAACAATATGCTATAGTAAGGTAATAGATAGTATCAATTTAAAACTTTTCAAATACTAACGTCGGTTACCGGTTATTGAATTTTCTAACCGGTTTTTAGCTAAAAACCAACCGTACCCATTTAAACGATAAGTGTGACACCCCTACCACATAATAATGTTCAGATAAAGAGAGAATAATTTGAGCCGTGTCATGACAAAACCAACATAATGGGTTTGCGACCAGCATGGATCCAGACCAGCCTGCGCATCCGCGCAGTCTGATCAGGATCCATGCTGTTCGCTATCAGTTTCTTTACTTGTTATAGGGTCTGTAAGCAAACAGCATGGATCCTGATCAGACTGCGCGGATCCATGCTGGTCGCAAATGTACTATGTTGGTTTTGTCGTGACACGGCTCAATTTTCAATGAATATTAAACAATAATTAACCACCTATTCATGTTGGCATATCAAAAAACAAATACAAGAAAATTAATGGACAAAAGATTGATATATGATCATCAAATGAATAATGTAGAAATTACAAATGATAAACAAGTGTATATATTCCAAGCATTTTGTCTCTGTTGGGATTTCTCTTTGTAAGTCTTTAACTCATTTTTAAATTTGTGTGACACTTCAAACATTATATACAATCGATCTATGTGACACTTAAAACATTGTACATAATTTAAATCTTAATAAAAATCTGTTATTGCTGACAAAAAAGATACTACAGTATATATATGACTTAAACATTTTTACTGTGACTTAAACATTACTGGTTTATTGCTGACTATTAAATGTCACATTAACATGTCCCGAAGCTGTACATGTATGACTATGCCAAACAATTGATAAAATGGCTTTAGATGAAATTGTTCAACAAACTGATGTCTCTATAAGTAATCACACTGGCTATATGACATACAATACACTCAATTTATACAAATAACTTAACACATGCATCTTGTTACAAAAATGCATTAGGATTTGCTTCTGGATCTTTTTGGTTTCTGTATCTTAGTGACAACCATACACCTAAAATCTGAAAATATAAAACAATAAATACCACTTATATAAGTTATCATATATACTGAAAATATAAACAATAAATGCCACTTATATAAGTTATCATATATACTGAAAATACAAAATCATATATACTGAAAATATAAACAATAAACATCACTTATATAAGTTGCCATATATACTGAAAATATAAACAATAAACATCACTTATATAAGTTATCATATATACTGACAATATAAACAATAAACACAGCTTATATAAGTTATCATATATACTGAAAATATAAACAATAAACACCACTAATATAAGTTATCATGCATACTGGCCAATACTAAATAACTGTCAATAAAATGGCTATTTATGGATAAATCTAGCATAAGGCAACTCTGTCAAGACTGTCATCATTTATGTTGAGAGACAAAGAGATGTCTGGGGATTTTACTTAGATTTGTTGTAGTTTAAACAGGTATATCAGATCAAATCTAGTTACTATTTAGTATATAATATTAAAGTATACTATCTAGTATAGTGTATATAGTGGTATAAAGGGAGTTAATAACAGCACTGTACAGCTGTCACATACTACTAGTGTAGGAGTTAATAACAGCACTGTACAGCTGTCACATACTACTAGTGTAGTAAATCAAACAAAACATCTATACCATCTGTATCACAAGAGCCGGTTGAACCGGGTGATGCTCCCCGAATAGGTTTTGGACACAGGAAGGTATACCTCTTGTTGTGTCAGAGTTATGTCACAGACAAAGTTCAAAGTGTAAAACCAACCCAAATATTGTGCACGACACATTGTCTAAATATGGTGATTATTTTTGTGAAATAGTTGTAAAATCCGATTTCAAATAACAAAGTTATGCGCCTGACATTATTTTGCTGCAAGGTCATGCTGCAGTGATTTTTTTCACTTAATTGGGAAGAGGCCTTAGCCTCTTGATTTTGGGAAAAAATGTCGCTAAAATTGCTAATTTGGGAAGAAAAAAGCGGGTTTCAGTTAAGATTTTTGGGAAAACTGCATGATTTTAAAGAAAATTTCAATTGGGAAGAGGCCTTTTATCGGAGTCTGTAATAAAAGCAGGAAAATCACTGTGCTGTGACCTTGACCTTCACCGTAGTGACCTAAATGTTGCATGCGACACGTCGATTCAATATGGTGATCATCTCTGTGAAATAGTTGTTAAATCGGACTTCCAGTAACAAAGTTATGGGCCGGACACGATTTTGCTGCAAGGTCATACCGTGACCTTGACCTTCAAGGTAGCGACCCAAATGTTGCGCGGGACACAATGTCTCATTGTGGTGATCATTTCTGTGAAATAGTTGTAAAATCCGACTTCAAATAATGAAGTTATGTGCCGGACACAATTTTGCTTCAAGGTCATGCTGTGACCTTGACCTTCAAGGTAGCGAGCCAAATGTTGCGCATGACACGCCATTTTAATATGGTCATCATTTCTGTGAAATAGTTTAAAAATCTGACTTCAAATAAGGAAGTTATGGGCCGGACACCATTTTGCTGCAAGGTCATGCTGTGACCTTGACCTTCAAGGAAGCGACCCACATGTTGCACGCGACACATTGTCTCAATATGGTGATCATTTCTGTGGAATATTTTTTAAATCCGACTTCAAATAACAAAGTTATGGACGCGGACACGATTTTGCTGCAAGGTCATGCTGTGACCTTGACCTTCAAGGTAGTGACCCAAATGTTGCGCGCGACATGTCGTCTCAATATGGTGATCATTTCTGTGAAATATTTTTAAAATCCAACTTCAAATAACAAAGTTATAGACCGGACACGATTTTGCTGCAAGGTCATGCTGTGACCTTGACCTTCAAGGTAGCGACCCAAATGTTGCGCGCGACACGTCGTCTCAATATGGTGATCATTTCTGTGAAATATTTTTAAAATCCGACTTCAAATAATGAAGTTATGGACCGGACACGATTTTGCTGCAAGGTCATGTTGTGACCTTGACCTTCAAGGTAGCGACCCAAATGTTGCGCGCGACACGTCGTCTCAATATGGTGATAATTTTAAAATTCGACTTCAAATAACAAAGTTATGGGCCGGACACGAATTCGGGACGTACGTACGGACTGACGGACGGACGGACTGACGGACAACCCGACGACTATATGCTCCCCCGAAATTTTTCGGGGAGCATAAAAACAATATTTCATGTTTTAATGTTCTATAATTATCCCTTAGTTTAACTCATAGATACAAAGTTACATAAAGAAACGAAATAAATTTCTGTTATTTATATTAATTTACGCCAATCCCTCAATCTAAAGTCACTATTATATAACATTTGATTGTACCATGCTGTAGCTGTAATGTGCCTATGGTATATATAATACAGCTAATATTATATATAAATCTATAGAACTATTTAATCATATCTTATGTGTAGATTTAAAGTGCTATTTACCAATATGAAAATTAATTTACATATTTATTTCTAAACAAAATAAACAGTTTGTAAGGCTTATATAACAATATTATAAAAATACCAATAATGAGTACAATACATATATAACCCTATCACAATATATTATGATACTATATATTAGCCGCATCATGACAAAACCAACATAGTGGGTTTGCGACCAGCATGGATCCGCGCAGTCTGATCAGGATCCATGCTGTTCGCTATCAGTTTCTCTACTTGTAATAGGGTTTGTAAGCGAACAGCATGGATCATGATCAGACTGCGCGGATGCAAACCCATTATGAAGGTTTTGTCATGGCGCGGCTCATAAACATGTAGATTAATTTATACAACCACTTTCACCAGTTATTTGCATGAAGGAGACTTTGAGACTAAAGTCAGTTATTTCATATCTCTAGAGAAGATAAAGTAATCTTAGTTAAAGAAAACATTTTACAATATATTCCCATTGCTACAAAGTTTTTAGTTAAACTTTACACATATAAACAGGTTATGAAACAATGAGCTCTGAATAATCAAATATATGGATCTATCTCTGATTTAGTTCAAATGTTGATATACGACCTTCTGTATAATTCAAACATTACTTCTTAAAGTAAAAGAAATTATCATGTAACATAACAAAATTGTTCCAGTATGATTATTCTGTTACAACAACATCTGTTATATATTATGATGTTCATAATTATATAATAAATACTGACTGATATAATAAATGACAATTTGTAACATGAATTATAAATGAGCCGTGTCACGACAAAACCAACATAATGGGTTTGCGACCAGCATGGATCCAGACCAGCCTGCGCGTCCGCGCAGTCTGATCAGGATCCATGCTGTTTGCTTACAAACCCATCAGACCCCAGCATGGATCCTGATCAGACTGCGCGGATGCATGCTTGTCGCAAACCCATTATGTTGGTTTTGTCATGACGCGGCTCAAATACAATATGTTACTACTAGTAGTCAACATGTGTTTAACCATATGTCAGTTTTCATTACATCTATATAAATACATGTATATGATTATAAACACAGGACTATTTTCCTTAAACTGTAATCAGAATGTGATTCTACATTATTTAAATACTTAATTGCTTAATGAGACTTTTAGTGAAAAAAAATATAAAAAAATCCATACATTTCATTTTATTTAATTATTTAGTTTTATTATGGTAAAAACATTGATGTATATTGTAATTGATGATAAAATTTGATACTACTATTATTTGAATTGCAATTCTGGTTGACAAACCTGGCCTACCATTCATCAAGTTTCTTAACTATAAGTTTGTGAGATTTTTTAATTGTTACTTAACTACAAGTTTGTATTCTTTTCTACAGCTATTTTTTTCTTTTACTTTTTTTTTCTGAATCTTAACATATTTATACTAGCAGGGCTTTTTTTCCTTCTATAGCAGGGGCCGGTATAGAGCTGCTTCCCCAAAGAAAAATTCTTTAACATCATGCAGTTTTCCCCAAAAATTGAATTTACATCAAGTTATTTTTTGTCCAATAGGAATGCAGTATTTCAAATAATTCGTAACACATTTATTTTGGTAAATTGGCCGACTGTGAATCAGTTAAGTAAATTGATTGTTCATAATAATTATTCAAAACACTAAACTGGTTAAAATTTATTAGTATGCATTTACAAAATTAAATTGGTCGAGGCCATGATTGCAGGGCCAATAACTCACTGTTTAATTTTACATGAAACTATCTGTGTAGGGCTGATAACTCAAAAACACACTGTTTATTAAATAAGATATTTGATTTTTTTCACAAAGCTCAATGATTGAAGACATTTACATGCAGTCTGTCATTAATTAAACAATTACACAAATAGTGTCTAGATAAATGTTTTAAATTATTAAACCATAAAGTCAAATATTGTACAGAAGAATTGACAGTCATGCATCATGCAAATGCTATAGCATGCTTTTTTATATTTTGATTTAAACTTATATAGTACACTTACACTTGACTGTAGAATCAGGTCAATAGTTAAAATTATGAGTTGGATTTTGTTATTTAGGTCACATATTGACAGAATATCAAATATATGAGCCGCATCACGACAAAACCAACATAGTGCGTTTGCGACCAGCATGGATCCAGACCAGCCTGCGCATCCGCGCAGTCTGATCAGGATCCATGCTGTTCGCTATCAGTTTCTCTACTTGTAATAGAGTTGGTAAGCGAACAGCATGGATCCTGATCAGACTGTGCAGATGCGCAGGCTGGTCTGGATCCATGCTGGTCGCAAACGCACTATATTTAGGTTTTGTCGTGATGTGGCTCAAATATAACTTAAACTGGAGACCCTGGTCAGCATTGGTAAGCATAAGCATAGAAAAGCAAGAGGGAAGTAATGGGAGGTGAAGTGGTGTTGTAATGTACTTAAAAAACTCATCATACCAGCTATGATAATTTTCCCTTTTATCATCTAAGCATATCATTAATGCAGACATAAACATTTATTAAAAGTACATAAAATATTATTATTAAGGCTATATTCCACAGATTTCAGTGATCATGAAAACAATTACCAAACTTTAAAGGAACTTTACATGATTTCAAATTAATAAGTTTTCTGTTATATAAACTATATACATCAAGGGTTTAACAAAAACAGTAACAATGTGTCAAAAGAACCAATTATTATAAAATTATAAATTTTATTGAACTTTGGACATCATAAATAAGAGATTGGTCACATACTAAATCTCTGAGACTTTATCAACAGATTTTTTTCAAGCAGTATTTCATATGAATATCCACATGATACAATTTATCAATATTTGAAATACTTTTGGTAAATGTGCTCATTATAGACCAATCCACTTTAATCTGTAATGTTTCAAATAAATACCTCTATACTTTTATAATATTCCAATGCATAACTGCAAAGGGCAATAAATCCACTATATCTCAATGAGATGTAACCACATAATTATAAAGTTTTAGGTACTAAATTGAAATAGTTTAATGCATCATTCAATTCTATGACGGACAATTTCAAGACGGACGCTGGACAGGCAGACCTTGCAGACAGCACTTGTAAACAAATAATCTAGAAATTATATGTTCTAAATTGAAATAGTTTAAGTTTTAAGCACCATTTAATTTTGTGGTGGACAATTTTGCGACAGACAAACAGACAGTTATCAATGACTCTTAGGTATAGTACTTCTTCTCATTGTGATTTTATAGTATGTTTGAAACATTAAATAGTTCTAGAATTATGCTCCATTCAATTCTGTGACAATTTTGTGACAGACAACTTAAGGACGGACAGAATGATGGATGGATGAAATGATGGAAAGAGGCTGTACTGACAACGTCAATACCTATATTACTTTGCCTTGTTTTGTTTGTTTGTTTCATTTTATGCCTTTTTCCAACAGTATTACAGTCATATCAGTGACTGGGGATAATAAACATTGCTTATCATTTAAGATTGTATAAGGACTAATGTTTCTATAACAATCAAATAATGTAAACATTGAAATTTGTTTTTCAAATGAACAAAACATCCCACAATAATAGTATTATCATTCCATATTTCAAACAAAATGATTGATACACAACTGGATGCAGTGTAATTGATGAAATGAGCCGCGTCATGACAAAACCAACATAATGGGTTTGCGACCAGCATTGATCCAGACCAGCCTGCGCATCCGTGCAGTCTGATAAGGATCCATGCTGTTCCCTATCAGTTTCTCTACTTGTAATAGGGTTTGTAAGCGAACAGCATGGATCCTGATCAGACTGCGCGGATGCGCAGGCTGGTCTGGATCCATGCTGGTCGCAAACCCATTATGTTGGTTTTGTCGTGACGCGGCTCATATATTAAAACAGTAACATAAATAAACAAAGGAAATAAGCCTCGAACCAAAACAATAAGAACATAAATATATAATACATATAATACAACCTATTGTTACTGTTAGTATTAGAGGAAAGAACTTGGGTTAGCTCTAGGATCTTTCTGATTACGATACCGAATCGTAACCCAGACTCCAATGATCTGAAAACAAATATGTCAAGTTATTATAGTCACAGTACTTTAAATGAAATGTCTAATAAACTCACTAATTTAAAAGAAATGTTTCATACACTTAATCATTTAGGGTCAAAACACCATTTTTGGGGACAGAGCCTTGGCTTTTTCTTGGGGAAAATTAGCTTGATTTTTGCTTATTTGGGGAAAACTGATCCATTTTGTTGCCAAGGAAAAAAGAGAATTAATCCTTTATAATGAAAACATTACACTGAATTTATTGTCCCTTATAAACATATAGCCTCTAATAGTTTCTTTTATCACATACCCGTGCTGATTTTAACACACCGTAAAAATCGGTATTGCACGGCCGTGCATACATTTTGATATGACATCATTTGCATTTTACAAACATAGTTAAATGTTAGCGTTATACCATACGCTTGTCAATGAAAAAAGATTCTTTTGCACTTTATACAGTCTTTATTTTTGGGTAAGTGATAACTAGAATATAATATTTGTGTGTAGGTTCAATATTGTATTCATTGAACTTGTTGAATAAAATAGTATTTGCTTGCCAAATTTTATTCAATTTGTTCAATAATTTCAGTAATGAACACTCATTCAATATCATCTATATATAATATATATATATATATATAAAGGGAGATAATTTTATATATATATAGCTTCTGATTAAATTCCCATAATAACGTTTCTCTATTTTTCTTAAAGTCATCAAACAGAGAATTAAAATCATCATCAGAGAAGCCTTGAACATTTTGAGCCGCGTCATGACAAAACCAACATACTGGGTTTGCAACCAGCATGGATCCAGACCATCCGCGAAGTCTGATCAGGATCCATGCTGATCGCTATCAGTTACTCTACTTGTAATAGGGTTTGTAAGCGAACAGCATGGACCCTGATCAGTCTGCGCGGATGCGCAGGCTGGTCTGGATCCATGCTGGTCGCAAACCCATTATGTTGGTTTTGTCATGACGCGGCTCATTTGTTGCTTGTAGTATAAATACGCATCAATAACACATCTGTACAAAATCATATATGTTGTAAAAATTTAACACAAACTGTTTAACAAGTTCTACAAAATAAAATAAAGAAATGTACTCGGAAATACACTTATAAAATAAAGAAAAGTACTAGGGAATACTGAAAGTGTGCGGCAGTGACAGAACTTTAATTACAGCTGTGACTCCACAACTTATCTATGTATCTGGCAAACTAATTCTCCAATTTCTAATTTTATTTAATTCCATCATTCTATAGAATCTATAAATAGATTTTCAGATTTTCACAATTTAAGGTTTCGAATTTGGGTTTGTTTGTAGTTCAATGAAAGCACACTAACTAGTCTTGTCAGGAAAAGAAATACATGCAACCAATATGCATACCCCTCTAAGTAGATATCACAGTAATTGGGTCATGCCAAGCAGAAAAATTAAAATGTATTATGATCAAAGTGATCAAATGTCCTAATTATTTTCATGTTTTAGAATTAAGTTTTAAAGTGCAAATGATTTACATTGATAAAAATATAACAAAATTTACTGTTTATGTACAGGTACCAGGTTTTTTTTGTTTGTTTTGGGTTTTACGTCACATCAACACAGTATAGGTCATATCACGACGTTCCAGCTTTACTGGTGGAGGAAGACCTCATGTGCCCCTCTGTGCATTATTTCAGGCACGAACAGGCACCTGAGTAGAACCACCGACGTTCCGTAAGCTAGCTGGATAGCTTCCTCACATCAAAGAATCCAAAGTCCCTGTTGGGATTCGAACCCACAACGGTGAGGGGCAAGTGATTTGAAGTCAACGACCTTAACCACTCGGCCACGGACCCCCCCCCCCCCAGGTAAGGAAAACAATGAATTTCTACTGGTCAACAATGCCATCAAGAGATAAACAAAAATATCAGAGTTTGTTTATATTGTAGTTTGAGACCTTCAACACTGACTTGAGCATTAATTACTTGACCAGTGTATTTACATATATGCTTTCAGTAAAAAATGGCCAAAACATAATATAACTCCAAAATCAGCATTATATCCTAACTTTTTTGTTGTTGCAATATTCATGTTTTCAAATATGAAGTATGCTGCATGCTGACAGTTATTACTTAAATTTTAGTTATCAAATCATATCCATCTATTTCATACATTCTGACATATGCTTTGTTGTTGAGTAAGCTAACATGAAAGCCATGCATGTTTCACCATATCCAAATAAAAAAGAGGGCCATGACTGCCTGATAAATATCCCTTACCTGATTCAGATTATCCTGGAAATCATCCAAACAACATTTCTGACCAAAGTATAGGATATTGGGAACAAACCAAAAGCCACTTGAGTGTTAACAGGATTTTTTCTATGCTAGCTCATGTGACCTAGTTTTTCATCCCAGATGACCAATGTTCAAACTTTTTATTTTCAAAGTGAAAGGGGCATAACTCTGCAAAAAATCATCAAACCATGACCAAATTCAAACTTGACCTGTGCATTCCTTTTAACTATCCATATGTCAAATTTGAGTTGAATGTGTTAACTGTTGGGAGAGATAATGAACAGAAACTGAAAATTTCTTATTTTTCTCAAAAATAAAGGGGCATAACTCTGCCAAAAATCATTGAACCATGACCAAATTCGAACTTGACCTACACATTCCTGTGACATATCAATATATGTCAAATGTGAGTTGAATGTGAAGTACCAGTTGAGAGATAATGAACGGAAACTGAAAATTTTCTCAGGGGGCATAACTCTGCAAACAATCATCGTACCATGACCAAATTTGAACTTGACCTGCATTTTCCTATGTCTAATTTGAGTTGAATGTGTGCAACCGTTACAAAGATAAAGAACGGAAACTGATGACGACAGAAGGACAGAGATGGAAAGACATAATGACAGAACCGGGCAAAACTAAATGCCCAAGCCATTTTATGGCGGGGGCATAATAAACAGCCTCAAAGTGAGAGCTTTATAAATCAAGTGTCAAAATGAGAACAGCCTCAAAGAGAGACTTAATAATTAACGTCTTATAAAAATTAGCATCTTGAGAACAAAAATATTTGTTTTACTTACTTCTGTGAAACTAAAAAACAAGCCAATGCCTCCAGTGATAGAAAAAGCGTCATGGATCCTTGGTTTAAACTTTTCTAAACATGTTGCACATGGACATTTTTTATCTGTCACATTGCTGTTTATTTCAGCATTGCAACAAGGTGAGTCTACATTGCCTATACAACAAGATACCTGAAATAAAATGTTTCTAAGATACATACAAAGCATTGTCTGCTGTACATTTTGAAGAGATATTATTCAGGTTTAATACTTCATTTTAAATCTATTTTCAGCTCGTGTGACTTACATATGCTTTAGATTGAAACTGTGTATGTGATTATTTTGAGGGCCAATCCGGTGAAGTACGCTCCTTATCTACAAAGTGTTTAAGAAGATGTTGTTTTCAGGTATTGTGCATAACTACACATGACACACAGAGCGTTTAAGGTCCTCCTATATATATATATATAATACACCTTAGAACTTTCTCATTAAGAACAGAAACTATCTTACTTTGTTGGTTTTAACCAAATGTAAGACATGACAACCTAGGCAACACAAACAGTTGCACTGTCTTATTGCATAAACAAATTAAAACAAGAGCTGTCTGTTAGGCAAGTGTGTTCTACTATTCTCAGTGCAAGCTAGTAAAACAAAATCATGGCTAATGTAGAATTTTCTAAGTTCAAAAAGGACCATATTACTGTCAATATCCACGTTAGTGTTCAGGCATCAAAAATATTTTCAGAATCACTCTCCCTGCAGGATGATTAACTTTTAAATCCAATGTGCATATAATATTTCTCTACTCGTCCTGAATCAAGTTCTCTTAAATTCTTTGGTAATTATGAGCGGATGAGTGGAGACTTCGGTCTCTGGTGTTATGGGCCTTGTACAGTAACCTATTATGCTCTCAAATAAATGTAAGAGGTGCTTTAACAGACCAATTTTGTATTTTCAAGGACAAATGCCATAATAAATCTCCTACAAACAATCAAGTTTCAAGCATAGATTACAAACATTTCTATAGATCTAAAATCAAACTGTACACTTATATACACCTTTTTACAATCATGATTCCAAGGCAGCATTTTCCTCTCTCATTGCTTCTCAATGCACTTTTATTTTCTCCCTTACCAACTTTTTCAATTATATACTTGGAAACCAGCTAGCAATTGGCATTTCAAACATCCCTTTATTTTATTCTCAATCATGAATAAACATAAAACAACCTTAACAGTAATTTATAATTTTTTTATTTTTTTTAACCAAAGTTTTCAAAATTCACTCGTGAAAAAGTGCAATGTAAAAAGCAATGACCTTGTACACATGTCTACCAATACTGATGATGTAGATCATTTCATACTCATTAACATGTGTAACATAAAGTAAGTGGGTAAATAAAATATTTCAGTCTTCCTTTCCACTATTTTACAGAAATGGTCTTTATTTCTAACTCAATTGATGATAACTGAACAGAAATGGTCTTTATTTCTAATTCAATTGATGATAACTGTTATTTCTACCAGGGCAAGAGATCTCAAGGATTTTTTTTTCAAAATAAAGTTCATTTAAAGCACTTTTTCAAGAAAACCCTCAATTCAAGAACTTTTTAAGACCAGGGCTCTAATTAGCATTTTGGGACTGGGGCCAGAGTTTTGCATGATTTTCAAATATTTTTCATTCAAGGGGGAATTTCAACAGAAGAAAATTAATTCATTTAAAACGATCAAAACAAGATTCAGTTAACAAATTTATCAACAATAAGCTGCTGTCATGAAATATTTTGGTTACTTCCAATGAAATTGAATACATCTTTGATACTTTGTATATAACTTTCAACTTAAAAATGTGATCCCTGATCTATGGCATTTAAATATTATTTTCAAGGGAGAATATTAAGGTTTTAGGGGAAAAAAACATACTAGTATTTTAATGGGGGAATGGGGCCCATATTTGGTCCCAAATTTTACTATTGCGAGAGCCCTGAAGACACAGATCAGTTTGAAGCACTTTTCAAGACCTGTGCGAACCTTTCTTTAGTAGTTTTGAAGATGCCAACTAGCATGCTAAAACTTGACACAACTCTAATATAGTATGTTGCAGCTACTTAAGCAAAATTTTGACCTTAAGAATATTAAGACAATTACTATGATTAATTATGAAAAAAAAAGTCTATAAATAGTTAACAAAAAAGATCTTACAGCATCACAAGATGGGTGGCCAAGTGGGTCAGTTTTATTCAAATTTACATCTTCAAAGCCACAGCAAATTAATTTGTTCTGTATGGTATCCTTGAATGTCATATCAGCTGCCTTCCATCCATTACGTACTAAACTGATCTCCTGATCTCTGTTTACAGCCAAACAAGCACAGCCGAGAGAAAATTGCAGCAGGAACAATAAAAACAATATAATCATATACTTAAAAAAATGTTAAGAAAAATCAAATCAGTATTATAAATTGCTATATATATCTGTAACAAGAGGGCCATAATGGCCCTCATATTGCTCATCTGATTAAGGCCCTTAATGACAAAAACAAATTAATCTTGTTAACTATTTATGAAAAGCAGACTGTTGTGCTTTTCATTAATAGTTAACAATATTAATAATAGTTAACAATATTAATAATGTAAGACTATAATGTCTTAATCTGAAACATAAACTGATATCATAAAGTTCATAATTAATTGCCTCTGAAATAGTGCAAAATGAATGTAAACAAGGTTTTATTCATATCTGGACCCTGTGGGCTAGTTTCTGACATAAGATGACCCATACTCAAACTTAAGCTAGAAATCAACATAATAATCTTTCTGACCAAGTTCCAGGATATTTGGGCTGAAAATATTGCCTCTAGAGTGCAATAATTTGGACTGTGTGAGCATCAAGATTAAGAAATGAGGATCTTTATAAAATCTTCAAAACAGATAAACATTTTTTTCATCATTAGATCATATGCTAATTTAGTTGTATAACGAGTACAAGGATACAAAGAAGAGAAGAACTTGATGATGTTTGACAGCTCCTATCATTCCCACTAAGGAAATAAAAAACAGGAACACTCCACATGCAATGATTCCACCAATCAAACCTAGGCTCACCACAATGGCTGCCAGACGAGAGTATGCTGCCACACCTATTAGGATTATAGAGATTATCTGAAAGTATATAAAATATTGATATCATACTACATCATATAATTCTAATATTCTATTCTAATGTATCCCTAAGGCTCGTAAAACATTCAAGAGAAAAAATACTTGCTATTACATGCAACATGTAACTACATGTAGGTTATCTTTAAACCTACATGTAACAAGGTGCCCAGTCTGATGGACAGCTAAATCCCCTCCTGCAGCGGACATGAATGTGTACTTCTTGAACTTGGTGGGATCAAAGCTCCACGTAGACAAAATGCTCAACCAGACGTTATGATTCAAAGAATATCTTACTTATATATAAATAAAAGCATATCACTGAAAAAACATTATTTACATTAGGGCTCTCAATTCACAAATTTTAGTGCCAAAGTTTGGAAAGCATGGAAAACAACATGACAATACCCTCGCCTGCATACATGTACAGCTCCTACAAAACAGAGGCAGAGGCTCTCATTACTTCTGACTCATTTAAACAATAAAGCTTGCATTTGAATTAGCCAATCAGATTTCACGCACTGTATCATGTATGGCAGCCATTTGTTTATCAGCTGTATAATGAGAGGATTTAATCATGATTTTTTTGGATGTGACAGTTTAATTATTTTGTTAAAAGGTATTTATTTTTTACTTTTGTTCATAAATAGGTCAAAATTAATGTAAATACACGCTGTCTTAATTGTTTAAATGCAATAGATCTAAATCGATGTCTTATGTCAAATTGTTTGCTACAAGATTTTGCAATGATCTGTTAAGACCTAGCGTAACATGGAAAATGAAAAACACAAAATATCAGATTAAAGAATGATAAATATGAAATAGGTTACAAATAGGTCTTATAATTAGGAATAAAGGTACAATGTATTATGTAAAGAGTCTTATTGTGAAACCTATAAATATATAGAGGATATTGAATGAGTGTAAGTTCAATACTGAATTTATTGCACAAGTTGAATAAAATTATATTATGCAAGCCTTAGGCGAGCATAATATTATTTGATTCAACGAGTGCAATAAATTCAGTAATGAACTTACACGAATTTGATATTCTATTTATCACATACCCAAAATAAAGACCGCTTAAAGTGGAATAAGAGGCATTTTGATTGACGCGCCTATAGTATAACGCTAACATTTAGCGCGTCTTTATAACGCTAATGACGTCACGTCAAAATATATGCACGGTCATGCAATACCATATTTACGGAGTCGCAAAATCGGCACGAGTGTGTGATAAAAAAATATACTTAATTGTTAAAAAGTACTTTTTTTTTTGTGAATATGCATTTTTACGAAACACAGAATATATGGATCATGTAGTTTGACTTGTCACTAATTGTACTGCGAAACAAGATATTGTGCTATTTTCATGTCTAGGTAATATCTCGCCTTTACGTACAACATAAGTACCTTTTCTGTGGTGAAATTTGCGCCAGGATTTTGAGCGCAAGCTTTGAACTGTCTAAAATCATATTAGAATTTATATTTGAATAAATTTGTTATAGTACCTTTAAAGATTATTCATTTCTACATCAATTCCATTTTTAATTTGTGAAAAAATTCCTAACATAACGATTTTGATAGAAAAGTACCATCAAAATAAAGACATGGCCGCTAATGTCACGTGACAAATACACTGTTGATTTTATGAAAAATTTTGTTATGATATATCAAAGTCAACGATATGTCAATGCATCGAATTAAAAAGCTTGTCCAGTAGAAACTATTTGAATATGTTAACAAGCATGACTGTGTCAGACCAAAAGTGTTGTCAGGCTTCCGTATCAGTGACACTTTGATTGGCCAATGAAAATCAACAGCTCGGAATAAGAGTGTTTACGACTCTACACGCAGCATCACCTCTTGTGTTTTGTGTTGTGTCATTTATATAGGCAAGAAACATGAGGGATCCTAGAACTGGGCCTTGGTGGACACCTGAGAATACTGGGACTGCCATTTACATGATTTTCTATTGCAAGTTGCTAGCCGTACGGGCCCGTACGGCTAGCCAAAAGTTCTAGCCATACTTGAGTCACATATGCAGTCAGTGCGAAAGTCAAAAAAAATTTCCGGCCACAAGGACTTGGATCCTTAGATTTATTTCCGGCCCTGATGATTTTTTCCCGGCCCGGACTCTGAAAGGTATTTTTTTGAAGGGGTGCCGTGGGGGAGGGATATTGCCATAATTATAAACAAAAATATTTAGAAAATATGAATTATCAGACTCAACTATCAGATACTATGAAAAAAATATACAAAAACATAATAAATAAAACTTTAGTTTAATTCACAAGAAAAAGATACATCTTTCAAAGGTTGGAGAAAAAGTATGTTTTGGTAAGGAAATTATCCAAGACAAGATGGTGGCTTACATTACTTAGCAAAAACTGGTTGTATCTTGGGGTGATTTTGGTTATCTGGGTCTGTGAATACAAGTAAAAATGAAAAAAAAGATCGATCTTGGAAGTTTTGCATATTTCAGAAGGCCAAAAATTGTTTCAAACTGGCTGTAATTTTATTCGGACATGAGGACTGACTGTATCGAAATTTATCTCGGCCCTCCTGATTTTTAAATGGCGAGGTCCGAGGACCGACAGACTTTCGCACAGACTGCATATGACTAGCAAGGACACACCGTATTGGCTAGTTGAACAGCACTTTTCAAAATTATACGGAAGTCAAAAATGCATATATATGTTATTTTATGATGTTAAGCGAGGATTTTAACCAAGAAACAGCAATTGTCTTTAAGTCATTAAGTTTAATTTTCAACACTTTTAAAACGAAAAAAATACACTGAAAATAATTGTTGTTGGGCTCTGATAATTGCATCAATTAATGATGGTATAAAAGTTTGTCCATCATTAAGGAAAGTTTGCATGTCCTGTGAAACGCATTATAAAATTCTATTTTCAGTCCCTGGGTAGGCTTAAATTAAGGCTAATTACTTGATTGCACTTTTAAAAAGTTTTATGTTTGATATATATATTTATCTACTGTATTTGAGATTTATACAATTGTTTTTGCTTTTCACCGTTTTTTTTCAAGATAAATTATACAAAGCTTGTTCGTATTCATAATTTTACAAAATGGCGGAGCATTTTTATTACGGTGAAGTGAACACACGAGGACAAATGCAGAGACTTGATTAAAATAACATAGATTCTATATGCATTTACGAGGGTTACACGACTTACCGGAATCGGCCGAATTACCGGAATCGACCGGAATCGGTGTTGAATTACCGGAATCGACCTGTAACTTTGTAATAATTAAACTTTTTAAGTTTTTTCTTGCAATTTTATAAGATATAAACAATATCAATGATTTATGAAAAGATTTTTATAAATAAAATCGCTTTTGATTAATTTAACAAGAGATCTAATATCGACGAGCTACTGCCAAACTGCCCGTGACCGGAATCGGCCTGTTATTTCGTTGTTTATGCAACTTTTAATGTTCCTTTTGCATGTTTTTATAAAACCTAAATATTATCATTAATCTTCCTAGAGATTGTGAAAAAATCGCTTTTAAATAATGATAATAATAAACAAATATTTATGATCAGCGAAAACGTGCAAACTGCCGGAATCGGCAAAGGATTACCGAAATCGGCCTGTAATTTGCTTATCTATATTTATTAAACAAAATGTTTGCACCCTTGCTTATAAATAAACAATAGCAATGATATATAATCAGATTATTGTCAATAAAATCACTTTTTTATATTTATTAAACAAGATATTTAATATCAGCGTGTTACTGCCATACTGTCGGAATCGGCGAAGGATTACCGGAATCGACGTATAATTTAGTCAATTGTACTTTTTAACGTTTTTGTTGCATTGTTAATATTCATCTTATAAAATATAAATATTATGAAAGATATTTGAAAGTTTCTTTCTTTCTTTTATTTTGTAAATTTCAATTCGCCTTTGGTTAATAAAGCAAGAGATCGAAGATCGGCGAGTTACATATATACTGTCATACAGCCGAAATAGGCGAATGATTACCGGAATCGGCCTGTATTATTGTAATTTATGGACTTTGCAAGAAAATTGCAAACAATATAATAGGTATCTAAAAAGATTTCTGTAAATGAAGAATCCTTATTAAATAATAAGCTAGAGATCTAAGGTTGGCGAATTACTGCCATATCGCATAATTATATGCAGTGCCAGGGCTATCGGACAATTACCGGAATCGGTCTGTTTTTCCCCACCAATATTTCAACGTTTGAAAAATAACCTTGACTTATTTTATTAAATACAAACAATTTAAAAGATTTTTATAATGTTTATTGAAAAGAAGCAAAAGATTTATGAACAAGAGCTGTCCGTAAGACAGCGCGCTCGACTTTTTTATTGCTTGCCAATAAAAAAAGTTTTTGCAGTAATAGGCGAGATAAAATGTGAAATATGCATATACTACTGATTTTAATTTCAAGTACAAAAAGAGAAAAATAACTAGTTGTTTGATACCCTTGAATATTACAGCAATGTTTATATGACATAATTTATGGTAAAGTGAACAAGTGGATAGGAATGAATTTTTTTAGATTTTTTAAGTTTTTTAGTGCTTGCCTATAATACAAAACATTGACAGTTAAGGGCCATAATTCAAATAAAATCTTTGACAGAATTACCTTCTCCTGGACATGTTTGGGAATCATGATTGTAAACAAGTATTCCAACTTTCAAATTAATATCTCAAACAGTTCAGTCAAAAAGTCGACTGGTACTAAAAACTTAACCAAGATTCTAAGTCGATAAAAGGCCTTAATTTTTAAAACAAATCCTTGACAGAGTTACCTTCTCTTGCGTACAGATGGGGGTAATGATGTGAAATAGCATTAAAAGTTTCAAAGCAATATCTCAAAGGGTTAAGGCAATAAGTGGATTTTACCCATATTCAATGTATTTTCTAAGTCAAAAAGGGGCATAATTCTGTCAAAAACCTTGACAGAGTTATGTCCTCTTGTCTGTTGATGAAGGTCGTGA